TACTCTGAAAACTATAAAACACTGATGAAAGAAACTGAACATGACACAAAGAAATGGAAAAACATTCCATGCCCATGGATTGGAAGAACAAATATTGTTAAAATGTCATTACTACCCAAAGCAATCTATAGATTTAAGGTAATATCTATCAAAATACCAACAGCATTTTTCACAGAAATAAATAATCCTAAAATTTATATGGAACCACAAAAGACCTCAAATAGCCAAAGCAATCTTGAAAATGAATAAAACTGGAGGTATCACAATCCCAGATTTCAAGACATACCACAAAACTATAGTAAATCAAAACAGTATGGTACTGGCACAAAAGGAGATACATAGATCAATGAAACAGAATAGAGAGCCTGGAAATAAACCCATGACTATATGGTCAATTAATCTATGATAAAGGAAACAAGAATATGCAGTCTCTTCAATAAATGGTGTTGGGAAAACTGAACAGCAACATGCAAAAGAATGAAACTGGACCACTTTCTTACACCATACATAAAAATAAACTCAAAATGTATTAAAGAACTAAATGTGAGACTGTGGTGTGTGTGTGTGTGTCTATAAAATATATATGTATATTATTCAGCCATAAAAGATAATGAAATCATATATAGAATTTAAGAAAAGAAACAAAGAAAAAAGAGACAAAAAAACAGACTCTTAAATATAGGGAACAAACTGGTGGTTACCAGAGGGAAGGTTGGTGCGTGCACTGATGGGTGAAATAGGTGAAGAAGATTAAGAATACTCTTATTGTACGGCGCCTGGGTGGCTCAGTTGGTTAAGCGTCTGCCTTCGGCTCAGGTCATGAACCCAGGGTCCTGGGATCGAGTCCCACATCGGGTTCCCTGCTTGGCGGGGAGTCTGCTTCTCCCTCTGCCTAGTGCTCTCCCTGCTTGTGCTCTCTCTTTCTCCCCGCCTCCGTCAAATAAAAAAATAAAAAATTAAAAAAAGAGTACTCTTATTGTAGTGAGTACTGAGTAATGTACAGAACTGTTGAATCTCTATATCATATACCTGAAACTAATATAACACTGTACATTATTTATACTGGAATTAAAATAAATAAATAAAAAAATACATATATAAATAAAATAAAGAAAACATATAGGGACAAAAGCCAGGATCCAGAGTACACTAATGTTTCTTTTTTTTTCTTTTTTAACTAACATTACATCATTAGTTTTTGATGTAGTGTTCCATGATTCATTGTTTGAGTATAACACCCAGTGCTCCATTCAGTACGTTCCCTCTTTAATACCCATCACCAGGCTAACCCATCCCCCCACCCCCTCCCCTCTAGAACCCTTAGTTTGTTTCTCAGAGTCCATAGTCTCTCATGGTTCGTCTCCCCCTCTGATTTCCCCCCCTTCATTCTTCCCCTCCTGCTGTCTTCTTCTTTCTCTTTTTTTTTTTTTTTTTAACATATAATGTATTATTTGTTTCCGAGGTACAGGTCTGTGATTCAACAGTCTTACAGAGTACACTAAAGTTTCTAAATGTAGTTCCAAACACAACTATGCTGGAGTTTTCATTGTCTCACTATAAAAAACTCAGCATAGCTTGAATATACATTTTTTTGGTTGAAATACAATAAATGAAAACATAAACTGTTGTTGTATATAAGAAGATAAAATAGGACACTCTGCAAAAATCAAATACTCTCAATATTACTGAGTTTTACTATAAGCTTCCAGAAAGGACTTCCAATAAAACAGTTGAAAGAACACAAGAAATTACAGGAACAAGACCCTAGACAGGAGGAGCACTGTCAGGACAGGGAGGAAATTGCTCACTCATTCCATAGCAAAATTCTAAACTAAAATACTTTAATTTGCCTGATTGTGAAAAACAAAGTAGGAAAGGACAATGAAGGGTGTGGAAGGAGGTAGTTTCCAATTTTAGGTATGGGACCAAAGGAAGGACTCTTGAGAAGGTGACATCTGAGTAAATGCCCAGAGAAGATAAGAAAACTGCAAACCATGCAGACATGGGGAGGTGTGGAACAGAGCACCCCAGCACAGGCAAGAACCCAGCACAGGCAAGAACCCAGGCACCAGGGGGAAAGTGGCATGGAACCTGAGGACCAGAGTGGAGTCCCGGGTGGCCACGATGGAACTGGGGAAGGAGAAAGGGGTGGGAGGTAAGGCCCCAGAGCTCAGGAGGAGTTTGTGTATGAGGTGAGCAGACACTGGGGCGTGTGGAGCCAAAAAGCGGTATGACAACTTATATATTCATAGCTTTGCTCCTTTAGTCATCTTGAAAGAGACAGAAGGAGAGCACAGAAAGAAGCAAGAAGATGATTTAAGAAACTATTGCAACAATCCAGAGGACAGACAATGATTACCTGGAAATGTTCTAACAGTAGAGGTGACAAGAAGTGCTGGACTCTGTGCATTTGGAAGTGGAGCTACCAAGAGGTTCCCACAGGCAGAAGGGAGATTATGAGAAAAAGACGAGTTGATGATATGTGGAGGAACTACAAGAAGGTGGTTTCCATTTCCTGAGTTGGGGAAGAGTGGGGAAGTGGAGGGAGGGTCAGAAGCTTGACTCTGCCATGCCTTCAGCACCCAAGTGGAACCATGGCTGAGGCAGTAAGGAATGCTGCTCTGGTGATGGAGTAGACGGTGGGTTTTGGGAGGGATCAGTGTGCAGCTGGCATTTGAAGTTAAAAGATGAAATGAAAGCACCAAGAGGGTGAGGTGGACAGGACAGAGAAGAGGTCAGTACTGAGCCGAGCAGAGCAGAGCACTTTAGTTCTGAGAAGCCAGAGAAAGGCATAAGGAGGAGCACAGGGGAGGCAGGGAAACAAAGCAGGAGTGAGCACTAACTGCAGGGAGACATGATGGCCACACAAGTGACCACAGGAGAAACAGCATGGAGGTCACTGCCAATGCTAGGGGTGTGGTATGGGGAGTGCTGGGCTGGAAGCCTGAAAAAACAGGCTCAGTAGAGAATGGGAGGCAATATGGCCATGGTGGGGAGAGGAAGTACAGTCAAGATGAATTAAAAAAACATTTTTAACATAGAAAAATACTGGCATGATTTTAGTACGATGAGAAATTTCAGAGAGGAGAATTAATGGCATTGTATTCTTATTTTTTATTTTATTTATTTGAGAGAGAGCACAAGCACAAGCAGTGGGGGAGGGGCAGAGGGAGAAGCAGACTCCCCACTGAGCAGGGAGCCTGATGTAGGGCTCGATCCCAGGACCCTGGGATCATGACCTGAGCTGAAGCAGACATTTAACGGACTGAGCCACCCAGGCGCCCCATTTGTATTGTATTCTTGAGTGAGCTACACAGAAAGACGGTTGGTCATTATAGTATTATTCATAATATCCTCAAATTGAAGACACCTAACTATCAACAGAAGAACAGATACATTAATTGCATAAATTAATACAATGGAATACTTTAGAGCAATAAAAATGAACAAATTGCTAAATATAACAACATTGTTGAATCTCACAAGCATAATATTAAGTGAAAGTAGTCAGGCAAAAGAGAATGCATATTGTATGATTATCGCATGGTTCTTTTTTTTTTTTTTTATTCATTTATTTGACCCAGAGAGAGACACAGAGAGGGAGGGAAAACAAGCAGGGCGAGTGGGAGAGGGAGAAGCAGGCTTCCCGCTGAGCAGGGAGCCCGATGCGGGGCTCAAACCCAAGATCCTGGGACCATGACCTGAGCCGAAGGCAGAAGCTTAACGACTGAACCACCCAGGCGCCCCTACATGGTTCTATTTATATGAAGTTCTCAAACATTCCAAGGACTCTATTATATCATAAGTCAGGATCATAGTGACCTGGTGCAGGAGGGAGAGGGAGGAAATGAGAGGGGGATGGGGTGGCTCCAGGTATGCACTTCATTCTATTTCTTGGACTGGATAGAAATTACATAGTCAGGGCACCTGTGTGGTTCACTTAGTTAAGCAGCTGCCTTCGGCTCAGATCATGATCCCGGGGTCCTGAGATCTAGTACCACATCAGACTCCCTGCTCAGTGGGGAGTCTGCTTCTCCCTCTCCCTCTGCCCCTCCCCACTGCTCATGTGCACATGCTGTATCTCTCTCCCAATCTCTCTCTCAAATAAATAAAATCTTTAAAAAAAATTACATAGTCACTTTGTGATTATTTGTAGAAATGTATACTTATAATTTGTGTATGATCCTGTATGTATCTTATACTATTCAATAAAAGATACATTAAAAAACAAAACAAAACAAAACAAAATAAAATGCAAGTTACCCTACGTTATCCGCAGCCTGTTAGTGGAAGAATTTAAGTAAAGACTGAGAATCATTCACTATGGACACTGAAAAAAAGATCCCTGTGGGAGGGATGTTTTAACTTTTAAGACCTGTAAGTCAACTTCAAAACTAAGAATTTAGCAGATGAATGAAACCTCTAAAAATCTGCCAATAAAATTAATAGTTAGCTCTTAAAACAAGGCTGCTCAAACGTTCCCTCAATAATAGTAAGATTTTCTTTTTGTAGTAAAAATAACAACCTATAGAGAAGCAAACATGTGTCCTTAAAAATAATTTGATTCATTAATGACCATTTATGCTTCTAAAGATCAAACCCTCCTATGTCTTAATATATGCTTTTCATCCCTCCCAAAGTGATTAGCAAAGAAATACTAATGTGCATTATCATATTGTCACATAATGCCTCTTAACTAAAACTGTATTTCTAAGAAAGACAAAAACAATACCAGCCAGATTTTATAAGACACCACTTAGACAGGAATCTTGATATGGTTGTTTCTCCCTTGCCCCTCTGTCCTCAAATTATCAAAAATTTCCTGCCAAAAGTACAGACAAGCATTCAAATACAGGTCAGTGCTTCTGTTACATAAAATCTATGTCAAATTCTGGCTTCCTTCTCCTGGCATTTCTTCATAATAAGGTGACAAAAATGTTCATCATAAAAATATCTTTTGAGACAAACTCACAGTTAGTCAATCAGTTCTTTGTACTCACCAGGGAGGGTAGATATGGACAATGTCTTGGGGATGTCCCCTGAGGTGGTGAGCAGTCTCCTTAGTGAACAGAACCTTCAGGCCAGTCCTAGGGGCCTCACCTTGAGAAGGGCTGTTGGCCTGCAGCCCTGCTAAATGCTCACACATGGCAACTTGGATGGTGCATTCCTCATGCAGCTCTAGAATTTTCACAATTAATACACCCGATTTTCTACCTAGAAGGTGAAGAAGAAAAAAAAAAGCAAAATGAAGTATAATAGACATATGGTCCAACTGTGAATAAAACGTCATGAAAAAAAGAACCAATTAAGATTGCTTTATTCACCTCGAGAAAATGGTTTGTATACTTTGCAATGTATAGACTCTAACACACTCACTGTGACATCTTTTTAATCAAAATAACTTACATGTTGCATTTTAAGCAACATAAAAAAATAGTCTTCCATCATAAAGAAACAGTCTTGCGTACACAGAAGACTCAGAACCATCATTTCACAGAGCATGTTTTTACACCAAAACTTTTAACTCTTTTGATAACCACAACAAAGGGAGGAAGACTACTTATTGATCCTTCTTCTTTCTTATATGCTCCCTCTACCTCATTAACTGCTTTGATTTTCTACTTTGGAAATGATACAGGAGACCGGCTGGTTACAAATGTTGTAATGATCATAAAGATTAAAGGTAAAGATTTCTGAGGAATGCTGAATATTAGGGCTCGAGATTTATATCGATGGAATTTAATCTAAATTTAAGTACTGGCTCTCTGATTAATTAAGTTCGGTCAGGATAGATAGCATTTCAACACCTGTTTCCTCATGTGTAAAATGGGGATCATGCCACCTGCCTCAAAGAACATTTTTAAGAATTAAATGAGAGAACTGAAGTTGACAGTGTGTGTAACCTAAAACCCCTATGTGTCCCAGAAACTGTTACAACACCAGGAGACCTAAATAAGGATGCATACCTCAGTACTGTTTATAAGAGCAGAAAACTGGACCTACCACAAATCAACAGGAGGAAGGATAAACCATGCTGTGTACATACAACAGAACACCATGAAGTTAGCTAGTGGACCTGGTCTATATGTATCAGCATGGAGAGATCTCAAAAACAAGAGGGTATAAACAAGATAATGTAGAGTATGATACCCATGATGTTATTTTTTTTAAGCACAGAAAACAATAAAGTATTGTTGAGGATACATATGTAACACAAGTATATAAATATGACTAGCAGGATACATAGAAACACATACCTAAGGAGAGAGAAAGGAGCATGACTCAGGATTTCACACTTATCTGCCATACTGTTTCTATTACAAAAATATGTCAATCAAAAAGACAAAAGATTAAAATGTGTTATTAATTCCAGGTGGTAAGTATACTTATGTTTTTCTATTACTGTTTTTTAATTTAAAAAAATAAATGAAATAAGAAAAGCTAAGTGTCTAGCATAGTACCCTGCTAATAATAACAGACACTGATATGAGTTTTCTTTATCACTTTAGCCAACTGGTTAATAGTGAATAATAAAAATTAATATTTAAATAGCACCAACATTCTAGTTATATAATTTAATTTCATTTCCATTTCTTTCTCCCCTTCTTCATTTTCCACTCACCCCTAATTTTCCATTCCTTCCTTTCTCTAAGTGCCAACAGCATGTGTTCACATATTAAGCAAGGCCACACCACTGAGCACTGTCTTGAACTACTGTTTCCTAAGGTATGTACCTATCTTGCTACTATTTCTCAAGGTAAGGAAGGAAACAGAATGGGGGAAGGATATGAATAAGCACAATGTCAGGCTGGCGGTACTAGTCACTACGGGGGGGAGGGAAATAGAGGATTGAAAACAAGTATTACAGAAAGGCACTAACTAGGAAGTATTTTCTTTCTGCCATAATAGTTGTTACTTTAATAAAAAGTGGCTCACCCTCAGTTGATGAATAGGAAAAGAAGTCAGCATAATGTAAAGGTCACTCTGATACATACACCGCTTTTCCCTTGCAGGGCAGCCAGAGCAATGGGTGGAGAATTAGGGTCTTTAGCAGCAAAGGGAAATGCCCTAGGTTTAAATGCAGTAGCTACAGGAGCATTTGTGGACAATATAAGAATTTTTATTTTATTTATTTATTTTTTTTTTTAAAGATTTTTTTCTTTATTTAACAGAGAGAGAGAACACAAGCAGGGGGAGTGGGGGAGGGAGAAGCAGTCTTCCCACGGAGCAGGGAGCCCGATACGGGGCTCAATCCCAGGACCCTGAGCCGAAGGCAGAAGCTTAATGACTGAGCCACCCAGGCACCCCTATTTTAAGAATTTTTAAAACTTGTACCTGTAGTCAGGCCCCATCCCTAAAACTGTGCAGTAGGCATGGAACGTCTCTCATCAACCAATGACAGCAGCTGCTATTCAGAGCTCCAGGGCCCATGAAATCAGATGGTCTGGCAGAGCAAATCCTCTCGGCTCTGTGTGGCTAAGCCACACTCAGTGGTCTGCCTGAGCTGCACAAGTTCTCTCCTTGGGTACTAATTATCGTCTTATGCAGCTCTGACTAAAAGTGCAATAGGTTTTCAGTGGTCTGCCCAATCCTACAGTTCCCATAGACCTTTGACAGATTGTATGAAGGCAAGACATTGTAGAAACTATAGTTATTATGGCAGAAATACCTATATATCTAAGATGAATCATACTGCTACTAACTACACTCTTTGAAGATTTTTATAATAAATCCTGGCAATACTAAAACTATGGTTTCGGCTGAAGATAAATAGCACTAAATAATTTGTAAAATAAACATGCTTCATGGTATTAACTATCACCACAGCCCAGGCACTGCAGCACAGAGTAAACATTCTTTTTTTTTTTTATGGGGAATAAAAAAATTTATTTTTTAATTTATTTTATTTATTTATTTGATGGTGGAGGGCATGAGCATGAGCACGGGGAGGAGGCAGAGGGAGAGGCAGAAGCAGACTCCCCGCCGAGCAGGGAGCCTGACACAGGGCTCAATCGCACGACACTGAAACCATGATCTGAGCCGAAGGCAGACGCTTAGCCAACTGAGCCACCCAGACATCCCCAGAATAAACATACTTAATGGTACTATCACCACAGCCCTGGTGTACTGGGGCAAAGAATCAGCACATTGTACAGTATTTCAATAAGCACACTCTATGATATTACTATCACCACAGCCACGATGCACTGCTGTGTAGAAAAAAACATGCTTTATGGTAGTATCACTAGAACTCTGGTGTACTGCAGTGTAGAATAAATACCCCATATGGTATTGACTATCATCCTTGTGTACTGCAGCATGGAATAAACACACCATATGGTACTGACTATCACCAAAGTCCTGGTACACTGCAGCATGCCTGGTGATTTAAATGGACTTGGTGAAGAATGCTGAGCAGTGCCATCTAGGCTGTACCACGGGGCTAGAACAACAGCACAATGTTCTCCACGAAGCACTCTAAAGTCTCTCATAGAAAATGTCCTCCAACACAACCTTAGGGAGAAACCAGTGGCCTGCCTTCCCTAAAGAAATTAAGGCAGTGTAATCTGCACTTTGTGTGAGGGATAAAAAAGTAAAAAGCAACCTAAGACAAACTGTGTATTTGAGGCAAGCTTTCAATCTGGGGATAAGAGATACTGGTTTTACAAACAAAGATTAATTAAATGGGTGGTACATAAAAGGCATTTCTGTGCCAGCAAGGCAACATTTTGCATAAATGATGTAAGACTCAGTCAAAATATCACTTTGACCAGCAAGGGATTACTGCATCCCAGCCAGAAGCAACTATTCCTTCCCTTTTGAAATCCTCAAATACCTTATCTATACTTATCTTCTTTTTAACAGTGTCCTCATCTTTAAATGGAGACAGTATTAGCCATTCTCAAGAACACTGCAAACATCAAGAGATGTAACACAAAAAGACCATAGTGCAGGGCCTGGTCCATCACACATGTAATAGCAGCAGCCATTGTCACCATGGTCACTATCAATGTTATTAACTTTCCAAGGCATTTTCAAACCTATTATCATATTTGACCTACAACAACCCTATGAAATAGGTAAGGAAGATACTAATCTCCCTTTTCCGCAGATAAGAAAACTAAAAAAGTCACTTGCTCACATGACTTTCTTAAGATCAGAGAGAATTACTGGCAGGTCTAATCCTAGAAATTGAGTATCCTTACAAGTTGTGGACCAAAATGTCTCTCAGGTAAATGCTGGTTAAAGATAGGAAATTGTGAGTGATGCTTTTTTCCTACTTTATTATGTTAAAATATAAGACTTCTTTAAAATGTAAAGAAAGCATATCCATTTGAGAAATGGAGGCTCTCACTATGGCTGGACATGGTCAGAGTGTCAACACTGATCATCGCACGATAAAAGAAGAGGGTAACTTTGTCACAGTACTAAATACTGAAGAGTAAGTGCCACAAAGATCAAATGGAAAGCATAAATAGTAATATATAACACCAAAGACTTTAAATGATTAAGAAAGAGGAATAAAAGGATTCATATAGAAAGTATACTACAGGATATAGTAATTTCTATCCCTATATATGAATAGCAGATAAAACAGTTCTTAGTTAAAAATGGAAAATATTTAACTTAAAGGCTAACATTTGCCAAATGAATGTGTGAATGATTTATTTTATCAGCTAACTGCTCTTAAAAAAATCTGGTTTTAAATGACTAAGAGGTCACAAAAGAATCAAGTAAATGATAGAAGAAGAAAATGTATCTGAGACTCCTGGGTTAAATGACTTCTTTGAAATATACAGGTAGCCAGGATCCATTTACATGCAAAGTCAACTCCTAAATAGGTTATGTTGATGAATTAATATATATTATAATGATAACTTCATGAATATTTATATTAGAAATACTATAAAAGAAATTAATGAAAATTGTACAAGAAAGTACCAAGTGAAACTAGTTAGTATGTGGGGATATTGAGATGTTGAGATATTGAAGTGATCCTCCTCTAGAGGACAGAAATATCTCTAAGTTTTTCTAAGAGAAATACTTTTCATAATATATTTGTTGTACTCTAAGTTACTCCACTTAATTAACCAAACATTGGCTACATAGTAATATGGAATTTCGCCCTACATTATTACTCTCTCCTTATCTTCATACATATCCCATTAGACTAATCTACACAGCATCTTGCTTTAAAGTATATGGTCTACTAT